CTCCAACATGTTAATTCATTGGGAAAAACAATGACATTGATTCCATTTTTACACACTTCAAATGTTGGCTGGAGAAAGAAGTATTTTAAAAAGAAAATCTGTTAATTTGGGGTTATTGCATTTGATATCTATTTGTGTGCATCTATAACTATTCCAATAACGCAATCATTTCATAGGATAAATAAATAAAACTTGGTGCTGGATCTAATACGTGAAAACATTTATTATAAACTCAGGACTGCAAAAATCAATGCACTACTGGGTGCTATTAAATATTCTGAGTTTTCCATGCAACTCAGTACTTTAGATGCCCAATATTATTACTTAGTGGATGTGAATACATTTTCTTGAAAGCTGAGAGCAGACTATGGTTTCTATTACCACACTAAACAAGCGTGTATGTGTGGGGGGGAGTGGGGTGGAAAGAACCATTTGATTACAAGACCTTTTGCAATGGGAATAGTGTGACAGAAGAGCGTATGCCAGCTCAACTCTAAGCTTAAATCCTGAAATGTCCTCAAACTCCATTCCTTAAATGTCCTTTCAACTCAGCAGAAAGGTTTTTTATTGCATCAATCAACAATAACTTTGTAAATGTGGCAAAACGGTTCACCAAGATAATGGGCATCACCAAGCAAGAGAGAAAAGAGGAGAGTTTGAGGATGTCCAGCAAAGGGACTGATCAAACAGAGAGGATTTTAAGAGGGCTTCGAAGGTAGAGGGAGAAATTATACCTGGCTCTAGATTTGCTCAATTTATATAGTATTTTAAATGTGGTAAATTATTGAAATCATTTTTCAACTTTGAAGTTGAAGCTTTTTTCTGTTAAGAAACCTAGAAGGTTTCATGTCTTCGAGACATCTCAAAGCACTTCACAGAATATACTATAAAGTGTATATTTGTGGGTGAAACGCTGCAGCCAATTGTGCACAGCAGTCTCCCACAAACAGTCATGGATTGAGTGACAATTATTATTATTATAATAATATTATTCTTTTTTTAATTAATCTGACATTCCAGCTCTTCCTACATTATCCCTTAGTATCGCCACTGCTCAGATTGTTCAGATGCTTATCCAATTTCCTGTCTGATGATCCCATTTTTGTGGGATAGGTTATAGGTGGTATTAACATCAACTGAGATATACCAGAATCCTAATAATAATCCTTGCATTTGATATAGCAACTTATCATGTTTTTGACACGTCTCAAAGCACTTCACAGAATATACTGTCAAGTGAATTGACTGTATATTTTGTGGGCAAAATGCCACTATTGCTATTTAGCCGTGTATGTGTGTGGGGAGGTGGGGTAGTGGAATAGGACTTCTTGACGCATACACTACTTGTAATGCTCACTATTACATTATCTGATGTCCATTACTACTGCAGACAGTTACAGTGAAGTCTACAGGAGCTGACACAGGCAATCGCAGCACCATTATACCCTGATTCCACTTCCTCCAGGTAAAAAAGAGATGAATGGCATTCTTACTGATTGACAGTTTAGCTGTATTCCCTGGCAATTGATGTGACTACTTTATTCATAAACCCTCCATTTCCCTGCTTGTAACTGAGAAATCAAAGAAAAAGGCTGGCATTTTGCAATTTGGCAAGAGAAAAAGAGAAAGGTGAGGGAACTGTATGCATTGTGCTGTATATGCCTTTTTAAAAAAATTGCGACCATTTCATAGCATGTTCGGATGTGAAAGAGGAAATAACGTGAGGGAATTAATTGTTGGTTGCTTTGTAGAATACTGATGTCAGAAGGCATACAGATCTGATCACATTAACATACACACGATACGGATATGGAGCCCTTCCTCAATGGAGTCCTATAACTCGGTGGTTAGAGCACTCACCTCACAAGCAAGAGGACCTATGTTCGATTCCCAGGCAGGGCGAAACGTTGGGCAAGCTTCCTTACCCCATAAGCCTCTGATCATCTAACAGGAGGAAGTAGGAACCCGGTTGTTAGTCATTTGGTGGATTGCTTTTCAAGGTGTAATAATCCCTTTAAAAAAATTTGAGCACTCAATCCATGACTGCTTGTGGGACACTGCCATGTCCAAAATTTATAGTGTATTCTGTGAAGCGCTTCGAGATGTCTCGAAGATGTGATGAGGTGTTATATTAAATGCATGCATTATTATTTGTACTGGTAGAAGCTTTAGAGATAAGTTCACATGTAGCCCTTTGAAGGGCTCTTCTTGGACAAATAGTGTTCTGGACACTATATCCTATAGAGGTATATCCTATGTACCTCTCACTTCTGGCCAAACACCACCCAACATAATCCAGGTCACAGACCGTGAAATAGACACAAACCATCATCCCCTGTTATTAATCTTCCCAATTCAAAGAGAGAGAGGGAGAGAAACAACCTGGTAGACTAAAGGGTTCCAGGCTGTGTTATACACTGAGATAACCCCTTTCATCCACAAAATATATTCAGTCACTATACGTTACAGTATATCCTGTGAAGCGCTTTAAGATGTCTTGAAGTCGCGATAAGGCACTATATCAAATGCAAGGATTATTATTTCCACGGTGTAACCTGGTGTTCGCTGCAGGTTGGGTGGTTTCGCAGACAGACCATTAAGTATTTCCCTGGGATCCAAGCCTGATAGAAATACTCTGGATATTTTGCTCCCAGTTACATGTCTGCTGTTGGAAGAGGCAATTCAAAATCAGGGAGAATTTTCCTTATTGGACAGGAGATTTTTTTTTGGTGGGGGAGAGGGGAGAGGTGTGTGAAGGGAATAATGTGAAGAGGGAAATTGTGGGAAATCAATTAAGGTGAGGAGGGAGGAATCTCTCTCTCTCTCTCTCCTGATGGCGTTGGGAGTACCATCTGCATTATTCTACCAATTGTATTACTTATTTTCAGATTTTTTTTGACACTAAGATCTTTTTGACACACACGAGTGAGTGGGGAAGGTCGCTGTACCCTCTCAGAGTGGGTTTCAGCCTCAGAGTGGGCTTTATTTATTTATTTCGGTTTTTTTTAAAAAGAAAACTAGCACAAGAATTTTTGCATTAATCTAAAAATAGGATAAGATTTATTTTAACACACGTTCTCGAACCGGTGACCAGCAAACTCGGTTGATGCGTTTCCCCTCTCTGTCTGTGTTGTGTGTGTGTGTGTGTTTTGCAAGGAGTCAGTTATTAGGACGATTATGCATTAAAAAAAATCAAGGTAACAAATAACATCCCTTCTACAGTATGTGGTGTAAAATGCTTCTGAGAATTCAGGCGAAAAAATACAGAAATTATTAAAAATGAACGGTTATGGATAAGTTTTGAAGGTAAAGTTCCCAAATAAGGAAAATTTCGACTCGAATACCTGTCTCTCTGACCTGCAATAGCGATGGCTGTGTTCAGTAAATGCTAAACTACCACCACTGAGTTTCAAATTGTTTTTAAAGATATAATTCATCTCTAATTTACAATACTGTTTCACAGGCAGAAATAAAGAGGGCACTGTCATTGCAGAAATCCAAGAATTATATTTGTGCAACAGTTCTATGTAAATATATATATATATAAATAATATATAATAAAAATATAGTTTGCAAAATAGTTCGTTTTGAATTCGGACTATCTGTACGATTGGAAAGTGCCACTTTCCTGTGTGGGAGCTAAAGAAATGATATTTTAATTCATTTTAATTCTTTTTGTCATATAAAAAAAAAGTTACTTCCTCCCCCTCCCCCCCAAAAAAAATGTTGCTTTGCAATCACATAGCTGTAAATCCACAACCACTACATTTACAGTGGAGATTTAAAAAAATGCTCATAATCAGCAGAAAACAGCTGGAAAGCACTGTCTCGACCAATTATAAAGCGCAGGAGCAGAAATCAGCACAGCAATAAATAACTGCATATTTTAATTACTATTGAAATGTATTAAAATAAGGAATACCTGGCAGATACATCAACAGGCAGAGTCCTGATACTGTAGGAAATTCTCCCAAAACTTGGTGGTAGGATTTTTAGCTGCAATTCTGGAGTGAAGTACATTCGTAAAGAAATACTCCAAAAGAGACTAAGAGATGTGGTGCTAAAGGAGACACAAAGAGTTGGGGATTGTGCTACAACCCTCCGCTGTGCTTCTTCTCTTTTTTTTTTTGGAGGGGGGGGGGGGGGGTTGAAAATCAATGGAAAATACTGGTTTAAAAAAAAATAGCACATTTTCGCGCTCCGTTTATTTTTTTTAAAAAAAAAGCAGAAACCCCTCGCGGTGGCGACAATAAATTGCGCCACTGAACGCACGAAATTCCTCAACAATGAATGCCCTCTCTCTCCCATCCAATATGTATAGGAGTTCACAGCTCCGAATAACTTTTACACAGGATTTGCAAAAGCCTTTCTGTGCCACTTTTCTCCCTCTCTCTCTCTCTCTGTTTGACCTCGCGAAATGCAATCAGACAATGCAACATGTGTTTCAATTATATATATATATATATGTGTATATAATGTAAACATGTGCAAAAAACCCCACAATGTCGGTGTGTAGACACTGTATCCACGGCATGTCCTTGCACTGCGCTGCACTGTGGTGTCAGGCTCACAGCTGAGGGTTTGGCCGCCGCGCGCGCGCGCGCGCGCTCCCGGGCTCCCTGTCTGCTGCCATGGCAACCGCCGCGTGCGGAAGGACCAGTCACCGGCGGAGCCGCCGCCGCTGAACTTGACGCTTGACAGTAAGCCCCGCCTTTACCGTCCTGTCATTGGTCAGAACCGGATGGGCGGGATAGCTTCGCGCACGATTGGACAGCTTGGTTGTCCGTCAACGCTGCCCGGCGTCGGCGTCGGCGGGGTGGGTAGGGGGAGTGTGGGTGGGGCTTGGGCCACGAGACGTCACTGAACTTGACTCTCGGCGATGTCCCGCCCCCGCCTCCCTGCGATTGGCGAGAGCCGGCGTGCAGGCCGGCCTGCGATTGGACAGGGATGGTTGTCTATCATTACCTCCCTTTCCCGGGGGGTGGGGAGTATGTGTGTGCGTTGATTGACAGGAGGGGGAATGGAGCGCGAGGGGAGGGGGAGCGCGAGCTGAAGGCGTCCGTCACCAAGTTAGAGCGACGCCGAGAGAGAGGGAGAGAGAGAGAGAGAGAAGCGTGGATTAAAGAGCGGGAGAGACACACAGAGAGAGAGACACTAAGGAGATTCATATTCGCTTCAAGAATTAAACAGAGAAAGAAAGAGAGAGAGAGAGAGACTGAGGAGATCAGAGAAAGAGAGAGAAAAAAAGAAAAAGAGAGAGAGACTGAGGTTGAGGAGATTCACATTCGCTTCAAGAATTTAAGAGAAAATATCAAACACTCTCTGAGGAGAAAGGCTGTGTCTGTCTGTCTGTCTGTCTGTGGAGGTCGCTTTTTTTTAAGAGTGTGAGTGTGTGAGAGAGGAGAGAAAAAGAGTGTGTGAGAGAGAGAGAGAGAGAGAGAAGGGGTGGCAAGAGAAACTGGTAAATAAATGTTTTATAAATAAAAGAGAGGGAGAGGGGGGGCGGTTGACAGCCGTCGGTTGGAGAATAAATAAGAGAGAGGAGGAGGAGGAGGAGGTGAGGGAATATCAAACACACCGGGAGGCTGAGGAGCGGTGTGTTTTATTGTTGTTGTTGTTGTTGTGAGGGAGGGAGGGAGGGGAGGGGTGAGATGGGGAGGGGGAGGGGGAGAGACCGGTGAGAGCGGCGGTTGGCGGTGGTGGGTTTCGCGCGCCCAACCGCGATCGCGACTAACTGCCAAGAGTGCGAGCGAGTCAAGTGAGTGAAGTGAGTGAGTGTGAGAGTGTGAGCGGGCGCCGTGGTCACGGGCCGCCCCGCGGGCGGGGGAGGGGAGTCAGTGAGGGAGGGAGGGAGGGAGGGGGGGAGTGAGGAGGGCGGCGCTTGCACTGATTCCTCTCTCTCTCTCTCTCTCTCCCTTTAAACTCTGACACGTCTGCAGTGAGTGAGTGAGTGGCATTGGCAGCCTGTCAATCGCTCTATAGCAAAGCGGCCATCAAAAAAAAATCCTCCAGAAAAGAGTTGGCTCGTAAATTGATCCGGTTTCCACTGCTGGGGCAGTGCAAATATTTTTTTATATATATATATACATACATATGATCTCTCTCGCTCGCTCTCTTTTTTTTATTATTCCCCTCCTGTGTTTTGGAGAGGCAGCTACTTTTACTTGATCTTATTCTAGATTTTTTTTTAAAAAAATTGCATTTTCTTTTTCAAAAGAAATATATACGGTATATACAAATATTTTCTTCTCCTCCTCTCCTCTCCTCTCCCCCCCCCACCCCACCCCCCACCCCCCCCCCCCCCTACCACCCACCCCTTCTCTCCAACATTTTACTACTCGATTTTTTTTCCCCAAAAAAAGGAAGATTGTAGACAAGTTTGAAAAAGGAATTTGAAAGCAGTCAAAAGCCAGAAACTCGTCCCCCCCCCAACACCACCACCACCACCCAACACGGTCTTCGGCTCCAGTGGTACCTGTTCCAATTCTTTTTTTTTCTTTTTTTTTTAAAAAAAAGATTATTTCTTCTCTTGTGGTGCTGCGGCAGAGTATGGACGATCAATCCAGGATGATGCAGACTCATCCCGGTGTAAGCTTGGCTGGACACTCGGTGCAGGGGGGCATGGGTTTGCCTCCACATGTGCAAGGACATGAAGGTGCAGACGGCGACGGGAGGAAACAAGACATCGGGGATATCCTTCATCAGATCATGACCATCACCGATCAGAGTCTGGATGAAGCACAAGCAAAGTTGGTTGCCTGCAAAAACAATTTTCGAGAAAATTATCGCGCGCGCGTGTGTGTGTGTGTGTGTGTGTGCGCGTTGGTGTCTTGATTTTGATGTCTTTTTAGCGCTCAAATTCGCCGCCATATTTTTGACTTTGAGCGCTAATAAATCTTGTTAATCAACTTATATTTTGTATTGCAGAAAACACGCGTTGAATTGCCACAGAATGAAGCCGGCCTTGTTCAGCGTCCTGTGCGAAATAAAAGAAAAAACAGGTACAGCTCCCGGTTACATGTTAACACACAGATCGCCTCACTGATACTTGTAGTCGCTGAACTCCAGCGGCATGTGCACCGCCATCTTGATTTCTATTTCTCTCCTATTTCATTTTGTACACTGTAATAATGCTTCACTAAATTTAACAATTCATAACAGTGATGCTAAATGAAATGTACATTAAAATGCTCGTATATCACCCATAACATAATCGCCTCTGGCATCTATAATGGAGCCAGCCGCCTTCGGCGCACTTTGCTGTATGCGGAGTAGAAAAGTAGCAGCGTGTATGTTAGATGTTACATCGCAAACTACGGTCGGACTTTTGGTTATAAAAAGTGACAATCATATCGATATCTCAGGCAGAGTGACCTTAGATACCAAGAAGGAAATGCACCAGTTCTGATGTTTTGTTAGTAATTGGAATGATTGCATTCGGTGGCAGATGCCGATGACAGACAGACAGCCTCGGCAGTCTCTCTCGTGTTGTGCGAAATGCAGTATTATTGTACAAATGCAAAGACAATTGATGGAAGTAATCTATTACGATTTTTATGCCGCATTGTATTTATAAAAATATCGAAAGTGTGCGACGGTGGACTTTGCTTTGTTTTCCCTCACGAGTAGCCGGTTTCCGAGTGTTTGTTTACAGTAAGAACCAAATCTTAACACCAATAGATAGGAATTACTTGCAATAGATTATTTGCCTAATATAAAGATCTGAAATTGCGTTTAGTGCCAATAATGTTTCAACAACTTTTACTTTCGTACTGTTCATGTAAAGTACCATAATATATAATACATCTAATGCGTCTTAACTTAGAAAACGTAGAATAGCATTCAACTCTGAGACCAGTTATTAGGTTAGAAGTTTTTATTTATGTTATCTCTTAATGTCCAGTTTAGTCTAGAACCATCTTATAAAATGATGACAGAACGGAGTGCCTCAGTGATTTTGTTCCGCATAAGTGATAATTTCCCCTGAATGTTTTCATCAAGGTTCAAAAACCGTTTTTGTTTCCTTTTGAGTGAGCACACGGTAAAGGTTCGGTGACATTTTCGCTGCTTGAAACGGTTCATTGTAGAGGCGTCGCTCGGATAAAACTGTGCACAAAGGGTTTAAACCGGAAGGTTTAGTCCGTACAACAAAGAAAAGTCTAAAGTGAAAGAGCGGAGCTGTACAGGCGAAAAAAAGACTATTTAAAGTTTGTATCTATCTTTTAGATGGAGGGACAATGAAGGGACAGCTTTTTTGTGTGTGTGGCGTTTTACGGGTGAAGACGTGAGAAGCTTTGAGATTTGGTTTAGGTTTGTTTGAATGTTATTTTTTATTTTCTTCCACCAGTGTTGATTCTAACCGATATTGCACATCTGGGAAATCTGGGGAACATAATTCAGGGATATGCGTGATGTGAGTGTACATAGGCAAAACATACACAGGTACAATATTGCCGTTGGTGAAATTAAACACAGTGCAGACACGCACTATAATTGTCCACTTATATACAATTGCTACTTTTCATCAAATACATGATTGTAATAACGCTGAAGGGGATATATGACGTTAGGTTATGAGAGAAAATATCGCTAAAGTATTTTGAGGTTCGGTGTTTGACGGTATTTGTCTGTTGGCAAATCATAGAAAATGACAAATATTTCTTTCACGTGTACAGTTTGTCCCTTCTCCGAGCCATGACATTTTCTGACCCACTCAGAACAAGTTTATACATAGTATTTTTTTCCCCTGAAGAAGGGAGATATGTTTTGTTTGCATTTGAATTTATAAAAGATGTATACGTCCCCGCTTTTGTGCAAACACTTTTCCAACAAACGAAAAGAAAGTTATTCGGAAAGCGAAAATGCCTTGCCGTTTAAAAGATTCGCTTAAGAAGTTGCAACTACAGTGAAACCCACCAATACAGCTCTTTTAGTTTAGCAAAGAAATGTTTTTTTTTAAAAAAAGAACAAGCCGCTAGACCAAGCTGTTCCGATTGTGTGTTAAGTAAAACTTAACGGGCATTTATTGTGCGAAAAGATGGGGATTATAACATCATTTTTTGACAGGTAGTCGGTCTGATGATCAGAAATATTTTAAACCGTGTATCAAGTAGCAATTTATTGAAGCGCTTCGGGAGAATATTGTACTTTCTAGAGCCTTGCTTTTAACTTAGAGGTAACGATGCTGAGGATTTCAGTTTTGTGGTCGGGTATGGTAGGAACTGTACACCAATTTGAATCGTTTCACGTGTATTTGTAAAGGAAGAGTGTATTCACACATATATTTCTGATATAAAATGATGAATGAAATGTAACATTTCTTTTTTTAAGTAAATAATTATTGGGTAAAAGGGTTGTGGATAACGATGTGAAACACCGAAAATTCAGTACTTGTCTCCATTATTTTTCTTTAATTAACGTAGCTTGGTGTTCCTCTAGATGGTTTAATTATGTACCAATATTTCTAGCTGGATTTGGCAGCTGCACCATTAGGTTTATTTGCTTTGTAAAATATCCACATATACTGCTAGGGCTATAGACACACTTAGGTTGACTTTAAATGTTAAGTTATTGGATTTATGGGGAAAGGATTGGGTTTTCATATACTATCACTTTATTGCTACTATTATGATATCTTGTGTACATATAAGATCTATTCAAAAAGGAAAACATCTCGACTTCTCCAAAAAAACCCACACAATGTTATGCATTCCTTCACTAGACCACAAGGTAGCAGGCTTTTTCATACAGACAGTAACCCCCCGCGCCCCCCCCCCCTGTTTTTTAAATTGTTTTATAGGTCAAATTTTCATTATTGATTAACATCTTAACCAACTGGTCAAGGCTATCAAAGCCCAGGTTCCGTTAGAAGAAAACTAGATAGATTAGTGTTACACAGAAGTAACACTCATTGCCTTTTTCGTACAGCTTAGATTGCGTTGAACATTTTGTTTCAAATGTTCATTTTATGAAGTTTGGATTTGAAATTAAGGTTATTGTTAAACGTTTGCCTGCTTCTCAGGAATGGGCATAACAATCTTTTTTAAAGTGCTACAAAAGTTTTGATTGCAACAAGATGATAGTAGGGTCCAACTTGAATCTTTCCCATAAGATCTATGACAAGTAATCCTCTTCTCTGCAGATACAAACCTCTGTTTAGTTGAGTTGACAGTTTTGATTATTTTAGGATTTCTTTTGGCATCACCACACCCCATCAGATTGGGTTACCATTCTGGTAATTACCATTCTGGTATCCTGTATTGGCCATACTAACGATGGACGTGTATTCCACTGAAGCACTTTACGGGTATGTTAGGCTCCATCAGTGTCAACACCACCGATACAGAGAGATTAGTGTCTTTGTAGAATCCATGCAACGTTGTACTTCTAATGGCCCCTATAGGAGCTGTTGAAATGTACTTTAGGAAACCAGAGCTGTGAGTAATAGCAGTTTCGTATATTTCTTACTTTATGCTTTATTTCAAATGAAAACATTGTGAATCTTTCACTTGTCGAGGTTGTTTTAGTGCCAAATATTTTCAGTGCTCTTATTTACTGTAATCAAAACATTTTAGACCCATTAGTAAATTTGTCATTGTTCGGCTTGCTGTCAATTCTGTAGAATTTGGAAAAACACTTTAATATTTTTGCTTGGTTTCACCTGGAAGCTAGGTGCCTTCTCAAACTCACACTCTCAGCTTAATGTAAAGCTAGTTGAAAGATGGTGTTTTTTGTTTCCCCTCTTAAATTGTATTAAACTAAACTGATTGTTTTCTTCAGCAACCAACCTGGATTAATTTCTGTGTTTTCAAACATAAAATGGTTCCAGCTAATTTGAATTGCTGTAATATTGGTTGCTTTCCTATTAAAGGTAAAAATATTGGATTGCCACCCCTTAAAAAATATAGACAGCTGTCAAATAAACTTGAAGATAGACTGCCACCTTGACTGAAAAAGTAAATGACATTCATTTATTTGCTGGAGCTGTATAATAGTGTACGAGATGGTTCACCAGATTTGTAGCCATTGTGAGGCTTATAAGCGGAACAGACTTGGGGAAGATCATAAAACTTAATGAACTCCTAGGCTGCAGGAGGTGTCCGCAGGGGGAGTAAAAGGGCTGCTTGGTTGGTTTGCTGGTTGTTGAATTCTTTATGCCTAAAGAGAGATAAAGTAAATGATCACTATTGTGTCTCTGCTTGTTATTTTGTGGCCCTCTTGTCAGTTTCCAGTGTTCGGAGGTAAAATGTAAGCTTCAATATGATTGTGGGGTTCTGTGTCTGTTCCTGCACTTCAGTTATAAATACAATTAGATCTGGTGTTCAATACAAATGCAGTAAAGTGAGGAAATTATTCTTTCCTTAGTGTGTATTTTTTGTTCTTGATAAAGAGGGTGCTGTTGCTTATGTGAATAGTGCACATTGTAAATAAATGGGGTGGTCTTTTGAATTAAACCTTTATATTTTCCTCAGGGTGGGGTTTTGTGGATTGAATTGTAATTCATTCAGAACTCTCAAATTCAAAAGTTTGTTTTAACTATTTATTTCTTCACATTTTGATTGACTAACTGTAAGAACTGGTGAAAAGAAAATGAAGAAGCTGTAGCGTTAAATAATCATTTAAAGGTTATGTCATTACAGATTAAATTGATTACTCTGAATAATCAATAGGCTATTCAATGACATTAACAATGAAAAATATAGTTCATTGATACACAGCCTCACTTCTTTCATATAATTGACGGCAAAATCCAAAATAACCTTTTTTCTACAAATTTAATATTAAACTATTATACAGTAACTTTTATTTTCAAACATAATAGGATCAATCATATATGTGGTAGGTCAGTATATGTAGTGTTGCTTTTAACCAGATTCCTGTGCAATAACGATGTCTGTATCTGAATTTAATAAATTAAGACAATTAAGACTTGGGAAAAGATCTGTTATAGCAAAAACTTGCTTGTGTCTAAATTAATTTCTATGGATTTAATTTATATTCA